AGGCGGATTATTTAGGGTGTCAGCTTATCCGATGGCAAGTGGACCACTGAGGGCGTGCCCCCCTCCTATATTAAATAAAAATGCAAGAAACAAACACAGCTGTTTTAGCAATAAAAAGGAATACGAATTTATAAAGTCATCTGCACACTGTCAGTTACTCAAGTCCATTGTGAGTCGCCATTTTCAAAGGTAAAGCTCAATCTTAAGAAATTCTCTGTCTGAAGAGAATTTGGAATTATTCATTGATTGCTATCCATTCGAAAGGAATTCTTAGATGAATTGGATGCAGAAAAAATTATCGGCAGATTTCAAAAAATCATCTAAAGAACACGAACTGTTGCTCTTAATGTAGGTACCACCAAACATTTCTTAGCATATGGGATGTTCCTAGTAGTTGGTTTGTTTTACGGCAAATCAACACCTCATTGGGTTATTTAATGCCGACAACATTTTAGGATAGATTCGTATGAATAAAATATGTATTCTTTGGTTTAGATTGGTTTGGTTTATTTTGTTTTACGGCATATCAACCTCAATGGATTATTTAATGCCGACAACATTTTTAGGATAGATTCGTATGAATAAAATATGTATTCTTTGGTTTAGATTGGTTTGGTTTATTTTGTTTTACGGCATATCAACCTCAATGGATTATTTAATGCCGACAACATTTTTAGGATAGATTCGTATGAATAAAATATGTATTCTTTGGTTTAGATTGGTTTGGTTTATTTTGTTTTACGGCATATCAACCTTAATGGGTTATTTAATGCCAACAAATTTTTATTTCTCGTAATATTTTCTTTCAAAATAATCTATGGTTGGTAATATTTTTTTTCTAAGTATGTATTGCTGGTAATAATTTTTTTTATGAAGTATTTCTGGTATGTATTAAAACCTATTTTTACACTTTTATAATGTTTTGACCCCAGTTTTGGCGTCAACTATTTGCCCATAGCTGGGACCCTAACAGCTGCTACCACCCCGGGTCAGGGTGGACCTGGGAACATCAGCAATTAAGAGGTGGTTCTACACTTGTCAAAACCTCCTGATCAAAGGCCTTGCTGCTGGATGTAGTTTATCGTCATACCCAGGACGGCTAGTAGTTTGATTGCTTGAAATGCAATGAAGAAACAAACGCAGACAAATGTTTTAGTAATAAAAAAAGGAATAAGAACTTTCTAATGTCATCTTCACACTATCAATCAATTATTGGCAGATAATCATCTAGTGATCACAAACAATTGCTCCTAATGTGGGTACCACAACAGGAAACGAGGTACCTTAGTTTTAAAATGAATTTAAAAAAATAAACTTTCTTGAAGCTTTTATTTTAGTTTTAGTTTCAAATTAATAGATGGATAAATTGTCGTCTAAATGACTCCAAAAATGAAAATGACACTGACATCTCGTTTTAACAGATATACAGGCTGCGATGGATAAATTGTCGTCTAAATGATGCCAAAATGAAAATGACACTGACATCTCGTTTTAACAGATATACAGGGTGCGATGGATAAATTGTCGTCTAAATGACGCAAAAAAAAGAAAATAACACTGACATCTAATTTAATAGGTATATTTACTAAAATTGCACAAAAATATCTTGAAATAGTAAAGAATAAATTTATTCAATAAAATAGCTATAGGCTTCAACCACATTCAAGAACCCATTAGGGTCCCAACTATGGGCATGTAGTGAACACCCCAAACCGGGGTCAAAACACTATGAATGTATAAGATACATTTTTATGATGAGCATACCAGTCACACATTTTCATAGAAAAAAATGACCAGCAATACATTTATGTAAAATATATATTACCAGCGATATATTTTTAAAGAAATTACTAATTTTCCCTAGAAAATTAAATTTCGGTATTAAATGAACTATAAAGAGTTGATATGTCGCAAAATAAATAGACAAACACAATGATGAAGAATGGTACACAAATGAAGGAGGTTATGAGAATTTTGATGTTCCTGTGGGATCCTCCAATGGGGTTTGAGATTTTGTTTGGACTGGACTAAACATTAGCCATTATTAATAATTTTGCTTATCTCATGACGATGAGCTGATTCTCGTAAAGAATATCACAAGTAGATTTTTTCAAAAAGAATTATTTTTAAGGAAATTTGATTTAATATAAAGGCGTTGACGAATCTTAAGATGGTGAAATATCTGGATGGGAAGTTAAGCCTAAAGAAAACTGTGGCCAGGCCATATACAAAACGAATACATCTTGTATTATGTGAATATATTGCCCAATCACTTGAAAAACGTACTGACGCAAGTACCGGAAGGTATTGAATTTTCACTCGTTGTCGGTTCGTCGAACGACTTAATATTCAATTAAATTAAAGGCCATTATGAAAAGGCGTTGACACAGGAAGGGGTCATAAATGTGAGTTAAATTATAGGGGAAGAAAAAGACAGGGCGGGAATAAAGAATAATAAAAAAAGAAACCTAATTTGGTTCACACCACCGTTTAATTTGGCGGCGAAAACATGAATAGACAGGACATTTTCTTAGTTTTTTTTTTTAAATATTTTTCTAAGGAATCAGCCCTGCACATAATTTTCTCTAGAAATAATGTTAAGCTAATCTCCAGCCGCTTGCTTAATTTCCGAAGGTTCGTACAAAAAGTACGACCTTTTTTATTTTGAAAGTCTAAAACAGAAGGAAATCTGTGTAGCTGCAGAAAGCCATATTTATGCCCCCTTAGTGGTAAGTATTTAACAATGTGTAATTTATATAGTAACTATGAAATGTTAATCCTTCGGGATACAATATTTAATTGGTTCAACATAGAGAGTCCTCTCAAGAAAAGATGGTACAGCCACAAGTTATGGTCAGAAACGTGTAAATATAAAAATAGCACAACCCTGTCAAAGTATCTATGGGACATAAATGATAAAATTAAAAAAAAAATATATAGAAAAACAGACATATCTCTTGAATATAATAGATATTTGAAAAGAAACAAAAACAAAATAAAAAACAAACGATGGGTTGGTGCATAATTATCCGGCGTTTTTTTAAACAATATCTATTATGAAAAAAGAAACATAATTCAACAATAGCATTTTAAAATAATAATTCCGGAGCGAATTATTATCGACACGCATTTTTATAACCTGAAAATAAAATATTTTTATTAAAAAATGTAAAAACAGCAATTTTTATTAAGAAATAACTTGCCTACAAAAACGCCTGATAATTATGCACCAACCCAATAATTTATAAATAGGGATCGGATATTGTTTGTCTTTGATTGACAACGAGGCTTAGGTTCCAATCAGAATATATTATACAGTAACTTTTGAATAATTTCGGCTCTTGTGAAAGTCTTCGATTGCTGATGGTCTGATTGCCCTCTGCCTTATATTATAAGCATTATAATCGATATCTGATAATCATCGATATTTCGGCTTTTTCGAGGGTCAAGTTAATTTCCCTTGAAAATGCTTAATCTTGCCCGTATGGTCAGATAATGTTTAGTTTTCGCAAATAATTTTAGTGGCTTTAAAACCCAGTTGAGTGTCATGCCATAGAATTAGTAGAAATTCTATACTTTCTATCCGCCATGATAACAACTGAAACAAAAGGTGGGGGGTGCAGCTGGGTAATGAATACTGCTGATAATCGACGAGTGATAATCATGATGATATACTGAAGCGATTATATAATCTGCAGATGAAGGCAGTTCTTAGCTCGAGATAATTCGCTCTTTTATCTTACGTATTTTGCCTGGTTATCACTGTTTCTGTCTGTCTTTAGTTAATCGACATGTTTCGTTCGTTCTCTCTCTCTCTCTCTCTCTCTTTCTCTCTCTTCTTAGTGTGTGCTTCCTTTTTTTTCTCTCTCTCTCTTCTTAATGTGTGTCTTCTTTTTTCTCTCTCTCTTTTTAGTGTGTGTTTTCTTTTTTTTCTCTCTCTTCTCTTAGTGTGTATCTTGTTTTCTCTCTCTCTCTTCTTAATGTGTGTCTTCTTTTTCTCTCTCTCTCTTCTTAATGTGTGTCTTTTTTTCTCTCTCTCTTTTTAATGTGTGTCTTCTTTTTCTTGCTCTCTCTTTTTAATGTGTGTCTTCTTTTTCTTGCTCTCTCTTTTTAATGTGTCTTCTTTTTCTCCATCTCTTTTTTAGTGTGTGTTTCCTTTTTTTCTCTCTCTTCTCTTAGTGTGTGTCTTGTTTTTACTCTCTCTCTTCTTAATGTGTGTCTTCTTTTTTTTTCTCTCTCTCTTTTTAATGTGTGTCTACTTTTTCTCTCTCTCTCTTTTTAGTGTGTGTTTTCTTTTTTCTCTCTCTCTTTTTAGTGTGTGTTTTCTTTTTCTTTCTCTCTTTTTAGTGTGTGTTTTCTTTTTCTTTCTCTCTTTTTAGTGTGTGTTTTCTTTTTCTCTCTCTCTCTTCTTAATGTGTCTTCTTTTTTTTTTCTCTCTCTCTCTCTCTTCTTAATGTGTCTTCTTTTTTTTTCTCTCTCTCTTCTTAATGTGTGTTTTCTTTTTTTCTCTCTCTTCTCTTAGTGTGTGTCTTGTTTTCTCTCTCTCTCTTCTTAATGTGTGTCTTGTTTTTTCTTTCACTCTTCTTAATGTGTGTCTTGTTTTTTCTTTCACTCTTCTTAATGTGTGTCTTGTTTTTTCTCTCTCTCTTCTTAATGTGTGTCTTCTTTTTCTCTCTCTCTCATCTTAATGTGTGTCTTCTTTTTCTCTCTCTCTCTCATCTTAATGTGTGTCTTCTTTTTCTCTCTCTCTCTCATCTTAATGTGTGTCTTCTTTTTCTCTCTCTCTCATCTTGATGTGTCTTCTTTTTCTCTCTCTCTCATCTTGATGTCTCTTTTTCTCTCTCTCTCGCTTCTTAATGTGTCTTCTTTTTCTCTCTCTCTCTTCTTAATGTGTCTTTTCTCTCTCTCTCGCTTCTTAATGTGTCTTTTCTCTCTCTCTCTTCTTAATATGTCTTTTCTCTCTCTCTCTTCTTAATGTGTCTTTTCTCTCTCTCTTTTTAATGTGTCTTTTCTCTCTCTCTCTTCTTAATGTGTGTCTTCTTTTTTTCTCTCTCTTTTTAGTGTCTGTTTTCTTTTTCTCTCTCTCCTCTCAGTGTGTGATTCGTTTTTTTCTCTCTCTCTCTTTTCGCTGTGTTTGTTTTTTTCTCTCTCTCTCTCTCTTATCAGTGTGTGTCTTGTTTTTCTCTCTCTCTCCTCAGTGTCTGTCTTGTGTTTTTTTGCTCTCTCTTCTTAGTGTGTGTATTGTTTCTCTCTCTATCTCTCTCAGTGTGTGTTTTGCTTTTTTTCTCTCTCTCTCTTCTGAGGGTGTGTCTTGTTTTTCCCTCTCTCTTCTCAGTGTGCGTCTTGTTGTTTTCTCTCTCGCTACTCAGTGTGTTGTTTTTGTTCCTCTCTCTCTCTCTCTCTGTTAGTCTTCTCTTTCTCTTTGTGTGTTTTTCTCTTTGCCTTTTTGAATTTCTCTCCCTCTCTCTATCTCTTTCTCTTCTATCTCTCTGTCTGTTGGTCTGGTATTTTCTCTCTTTCCGTTTGTTTGTTTTTTCTCTCTCACTCTGTCTGTCGGGTTTTCTCTCTCTCTCTCTCTGTTTTCCCCTCTCTCTGTCTCTTTCTCTTTCTTTTTCTGTCAGTTTTTTCTATCTCTGTTCTATTTTCACTGTCTGGTTTTCTTCCCCTCTCTTTGTTTCTCTCTCTGACTGTTTTTCTCTCACTCTTTCTCTCTCTCTGTTTGGTTTTGTCTCTGGTTTTCCCCTCTCTCTCTCTCTTTCTCCGTTTGCCTAGTTTTCTCTCTCTGACAGGTTTTTCCCTCTCTTTCTATGTCTATCTGCCTGTTTTTTTTCTCTCTCTCTCTGTCTGGTTAACTCGCTGTCTGTCTCTGTCAGGTTTTTCCCTCTCTTTTACTGTCTGTCTGATTTTCTCTCCCCGTCTGTCTGTTTCTCTCTTTCTTCCTCTCTGGTTTTTTCTCTCTCTCTCTCTCTTTTAGTGTGTGTCCTATTTTATCTCTCTCTCCTCAAATGTAACTAAATTACAAAAGCTCAGAATGTTTTTAAAATCCGTCCTTGATCGGGTTGATATATTTCAACACCATTTTCTTTTCTCTTCATCTTTTCCTCTATGTCTGTTTCTATCCCTATCCCTACCCACCTCCTATCACTGTTCTCTTTTTTTTTCTTTCTCCCTATCTCTTTTCTTCACTTCAATTTCACCCTCTCTACATCTGTGACTCTCTCTCTCTCTTTCCTTTTCTCCTTCACATCGTAAAATACCAACTAAGGAGTGGTCCCAGAAAATTGGAACAGGAATGTCGAGCTTTTCATCGACTAATGTACGTCATATTTTACGGGTGACTCGAGTGAGGCAGAGAGAGAGAGAGGGGGGGGCTCGCGGTGGTACCGGTGGTATCCGGAGGAAGATTAGTGAGATGAGACAACATTTCGAGTAGGCGGGAAATATATATAAGAAACCCAGAAACGAGAAGTATCCATTTTCTAACAAAAATTGTTGCAAACCACATCTTTCAGTTTCGCTGGCTCACCCATACTCTCTCTCTCTCTATATATATATATATATATATATATATATATATATATATATATATATAAAGAAATATTTTTTATCTATCCTAGACGGATACAAGACATATCATGGCATAGCGACACATATCTCTCTATCTCAATTTAACTTTTGAAAATCATATAACTCCGAACTATTGCCCTAATTAAATATTCTGAAAGTTGCATTTTTTTATATATATATATATATATATATATATATATATATTGATGCTTGTTTCATTAAATAATATAGACAAATTTTGTCTATTTATTTTAAGTAAATTCCTTTTATACTGACTGATAAGCTTAATGACATTATCATTGAAAGATGAAAGAAAGTCACCATATTGATACATGTTTCTTAATCCTATCTAAGCTTTCGGCTTACATAAGCCATTATCAAAGATGACAATTACATTTCAATATATTAAACAATACACGGACAAAACAATAATGATAGTCTGTTTTTGTTGCATGAAAGATTACCAAGCAACGACAAACTCGGGTATACGAGACGCGGAAGCGAAAATCGCAACGCAGCTCGTGACGTCACACATGACCACGCGAGAGTGAAAATGAGAAATGTTAAGTATGGGAAGATATATATATTCTGCAGTATTACATTAGAACATGCGCATACCCACTACAAAACTGTACATATTGTTTTACCCGATGAAACGTTAAAAAAGGGTTTTTTTTTTAAACGTTGAAACAAGATGTACGGTTTTGTAGTGGGTATGTGCATGTTCTAATGTAACACTACATAATAAATATTTACGGCATTACCTTTTGTATTGAACCCTGTTTTAATATCTTGAACGCTGAAATTTTTTACTATTTGTTCTTTTTTAATTTGATATATATATATATATATATATATATATATATATATATATATATATATATATATATATATATATAATATCATTAAAATAAATTACAGACATTATGTTTTTCTTATTTTTAATAAAATCCATTCATACTCACGGATAACCTTCCGTGTATTGCAATTAAATGATGTGAGTAATGATGTGATGTGATGCTATAACTATGAAAATCATTTTTAATTTTCATTTCCCAAGTACTTTCGATCTTCTTCTGAGATAATCTTCAGGGGTGTACGTAGTAATGCAAAACTGTGTGTTGTTCACGGGTGCAAGTAGCAATAAAAACTGTTTTTTTGATATCCGTTACTGTAATAAAATCTTTACAGTAATGGATATAGTAATATTTTGGTGGAGCATGCGTAGGATGTGCACCCTTCAACATTCTATACCAACGTGAGTTCAAATTTCATTTTGCATTATCATTTCATGATTAAAATGATCAAAGTATATTACAGAATAACATTTCATTCAAATATTTTATATTTCTTCCTTTCAGTTTTGAATCTCTATATATATATATATTTAACTGTCTTTTTGTTGTTTTTTTTTTTAATTTTTCTCTTTCATGAACGCCATGGTCTTTGGTGGCTTGTTTAGAGACCAAGTTAATGGCTTTTAAAGCTTCTTTCACGTGAATTGCAGTACAATTTTGAACATGTAAGAATTGGATATTACAGTGTGTGTATGTGTGGGGGTGGGCGTCGACAGAATTTTAGAAATACCAAAAGGGGCATGGCCCAAAATCGGCTGGAAACCACTGGTTTAGAGGCATATCAACTTCTTTTTAGTCATTCAATCGAAATTTAATTTTCTTTGAGCATTAGTAATTTCTTTTACAAAAAATGTATTGCTGGTCAACAGAATGAATAAAAACTCACTCCAATACTTAATTAGTCTGTGTTTATATAGTCGAATTACTACATTTGCTTTAGTATATATTCTCAAGTTTTATGATTTTTGCTAATACCGCGCTCTCGTAATGAATTAAAGACGGCTGAGTGTTCTGCCGAGTCCAATGCATTTTCATAATCAATCGAAGCTAAACCATTTTGTTTATCTTTAGTTTTATTTTTCTTTGGGGCTTACGGCCACATCACGTTGAAACTCCGGTTTCCGTACGATCATCGAAGTTAAGCAACGTTGTGCCTGGTAAGTAGCTCGATCGGTGGTCGCTTGGAAATACCAGCTGCTGTAAGCTTCGATGAACGGGAGGTGTAATGGATAATGACTCCAAATTGTTATTCGAAGAGCAGGGTTCTAATTCCAGTTGGGTTCATCATACTCATTTATACGCAAATACTCTTCGGAAAGGTATGAATTTACCTTTTCTCACACTAGCTATGGGTTAATTATAATACTTGTATCGCTAAACAAGTGTATATATAAAAAAAGAAAAAGGATTCTTAGGGTCTGAAAATATTTTTTGGTTTTAAATAACCTGCAAAGGGTTGATAAATTTGCAGAAAACGAATCCGTGAAAAGATCTGTTACTATGCCATATTCTGTTTCTTTTCTAAGCTTAATATTTTGAAGCGCTGAAATTCTTTCATTTGTTCTTTCCTCAGGAACTTATTTTCAAAGCATACATTTTTGCATAGCAGTCACTGGTTAATCATAATATCTCGTGCCTACATTAGGTACCATCACCTTTTTTTTCACATCGACTAATAGTTGTTTATTGGTATGGAAGGCAGATCGCTTATACTATTTACATTATTCGGACTATTGTCCTCATCTTTGTTGCTATATTTATCAAAACGTTTTGGCCGTTGTACGCTCCGGTCTTCTTCAGGTGGTTGGAATGTCGAATTGAACCCTTTATTTCGCTCGCTGGGGTAGCCTGTTCTAGTTCCACGTGTCATGTCTAATGGATGTCAGTTATAAGTTATCTCCTGTTAATTCCCCTCTCCAGGTTCTCCACCGCCTTAACTAGGTACTGAACTCAGACTCTTTGGGTCTTGTCACTGGATCTAACTAACGCCTTTATTCACTGTGCCATGTGTTCTTGAGGATACGTTGTGATAAATATGGCAAGAAAGATGAGGACAATAGTCCGAATAATGTAAATAGTGTACATAATACCTTATCTCAGAAATATAGACAGATACTGAAGGGCCGAAGCGTTGTAATAAATATGGCGACAAAGATGAGGACAATAGTCCGAATAAGGTAAATAGTCTACATAATACCTCATCTCAGAAATATAGACAGATACTGAAGGGCTGAAACGTTGTGATAAATATGAACACAAAGATGAGGACAATAGTCCGAATAAGGTAAATAGTGTACATAATACCTCATCTCAGAAATATAGACAGATACTGAAGGGCTGAAACGTTGTGATAAATATGAACACAAAGATGAGGACAATAGTCCGAATAAGGTAAATAGTGTACATAATACCTCATCTCAGAAATATAGACAGATACTGAAGGGCCGAAATGTTGTGATAAATATGGCAAGAAAGATGAGGACAATAGTTCGAATAATGTAAATAGTGTACATAATGCCTTATCTCATAAATATAGACAGATACAGATCGCTTATGTTTCGAAGCTCATCCATTAACTTAGATCGTCTTCGATTCGATCCAAGTTAATATTCGTCTTTATTTTTTTTAAACGCTTCCTTCATGTGTCATATCCTTACAGGACGTAGACTATCAGGTTTCCCCACATCTATTAACTTTTTGTATTTGTAAGCAGTGTTTGCACCCTAAATATCCAGACTGCTTGTTTTGTCATCCATTTACATTAACTTGTCAGGTTACTCGATTGTTTCGCTTTGCCTCTCTTGACTTCACTATAAGGCCCAAACTGTTGCAGCCCTCTTTTCTCATTATTTATCTGGACATTTCTGTAATCTCTTTCTGATTCCAAATCCAAATGTCCTTTTTGTTTCCATTTCTTTGAATGTGGATTATTTGACGTCAGGCTTCTTCGAATTTAGTAGAGAACTGGTGGATAACAGCATACCAATGCGAATCAGTTGGCAGACCATAGCTGCTTTAGTTTGATCTTGCACCACTGGAGGTCAGTTTTGGTTGCAACTTTGTACCATTTCTTTGGTAGGTTTTGATGCCTTCTACCACATAGCAGCTCTTCGTACAACAGTCGTTTGGGGATTAAATGATACTCCATGCGGATGATATGGCCACACCAACTTGTACCTTGGTAAGTATTAATTTGTTGTTGGTTAGGTTCATGCAGACCCAAATTTCAAGGTTGGTGATGCAATCCTGTAAGGTGATTCTTACAATGAAGAACCTGCATGTGAAACTTTTCCAATTTCTTGATGTGTTTCCGGTACAAGGTCCACATCTCACATCTGTAGACGAGAGAAGGAATGACCATTGCACTCTACTCTTTTAAGTCCTATTCTGATTTCTATATCTTTTCTCGCACTTCTCGGATGTGGAACTCTATTCAGATTCCTTGTTCCCCAAAAAAGATTCTGGTAAGCTCAATGAGCCTGTACAACCTGGGGGTTCGGGTGCGGCAAATTACAGGGGAAATTTTGAGGCCATATAAAATCGGTATTAGAGCATTTTCCGAAGGCCAAATTAAATTTCTTGCCATTTTTATGATTCTATCCTAAAATCCCTTTTTTTAATAATAAACACAAAAAAAAAATGGATTTTTTAAAGATTCATATTGTTGTTCAGGGGCCCATTTTAGGGGGTCTGAAAGTAAGGACAATAGTTTCATAGCATTTTAGGCCCCAAAAATTTCCATGGGTTTTAAAGGGGGAAACAAATATATATATATATATATATATATATATTTATATAATATATATATATATATATATAAAATAAATATATATTATAAAATATATAAATAAAAAATATAAATTTTAAAAAAAAAAAAAAAAAAAAACAAAAAAAAAAAAAAAAAAAAACACCAAACCAAACCCCCCAAAAAAAAAAAAAAAAAAAAAA